ATAGCTTCTTCCTACCAACAGGACACCTGTCTATCTCTATTGTCTCTTTATCTCTCCTCCTTCTCTTTCTTTGCACTAATCCGTATATTATATGATTCTAGATTTGCGACATCCTGTCCTATTTGACAAGGATAGTTAGATTATAGAAAATCATGAATAAGCCATTCTATAATTCTTAATAAATTTATATATTTCATTATAGGCATCTATTAAATCATGAGTCTCTCACTTTACATCTCTGATACGACTAACTCCCCTGCTGTGTATAGTGACTACCACGTCTCTCCTCCTCTGTAGTCTCTACTCTCTGCTCACTCTCTCTACACTCCTTCGGTGATGTCTCTGTCTTGTCTATCTTGTCTGTCTATCTGTCTCTGTCTCTCTCTCTCTGTCTCCTCGTAGCCTTCTGCTCTCCTGTCTCTGTCTCTTCCCTCTCTCTCTCTCTCTTCTCTCCCTTCTCTCTCTTCACTCTCTACTCTTCTCTCCTTTCTTTCCTCTCGTCTCTCTCTCTTCTTCTCTCTCTTCTTCTCTCTACTCTTCACTCATCTTCATATATCTATCATCTCATTACTATACTACTCTATCATCTATCTTCTATCTATATATATTAATACCATACATTACATATATATATATAATACTAGTATATACTATATAGCTACTAATATATATACTACATCTTCCTATTCTCATCTTCACCATACTCAATACCTATAATATCTACTATATATATATTATATCACTATAATATATATATATCACTACTATAGCTAATCATACATTAATATACTATATCTATCTATTAGTATTTCATATATAATTATGTTATCAATAATAATACTTCTTCTATATCTAATATATATATACTATATATAAATATATAATATGTTATACTATATATAAATCTATATATATCTAATATTATACATACATACAATATATACTATTACTATATATATATATCTATACTATATATATATATACTTTACTATTACTCACTACATGTATGATACATATTATAACACTACATACAAAGATACATATATATATCATATACTCATTTACTATCACTCTATTGATCTATCTACTAATTATACCTCATATATATCTATATTTATATATACATACATATATATATATAGTATATATATATATATATATAAATCTATATCTATATATAATATATATATATATCTCTGTATATTTAATCGTACATATACATATATTTTACCATATTCTCTTAATCTTTCTACGCTCTATCTATAATAGTATATCTATATAGTATATATTACTCATACATAATATATATTACTATAGTATCCTATATATTCCATATATATGATAATCTAATATATATATATATATATATATCATGAATAATATCTTATTTTACTTCATTTCATTATTCTGTTCTTGCACACACATATCTCATGTATCAATCACATATTTACATACATACATCTCCATACAATATTATTCGTATCCATTCATCCTCTATATCTCTCTCTCACTAAACAAGAGACAGAGTGGGGTATATATATATAGAATATTAGGAAGGGATTGGAGAGGTAATAGAGAATTATTATAGTAATGGATAAAAGTTTGTAGTAGAGTACAAAAGAGAAGAGACACCACAATGCATGATGGTATATGACGAATATTTGAGCAATATACATACATGACAGATACATGAATAATGAGTAAGAATAGTAGAGAGGAATTAGGTAGAGATATAGGACAATAAAGGATAGTAGGGGAGGATATAGTATGAGGAAAAAAGTAGTAGTTATATATATACATATAATGAGTAACTTATAGACCACATACATATATGTATACATATACATACATACATACATACACGCACACACAGACACACACACAAAACGACACAACAGCGAGCAGACTACATCGAACACACACACAGACGCACATAGACACGACACACAGACAACACACCACCCTAACAACACGACAAATGACACACACACACACACACACACCTTATATACGATTATATGCAATATGTTTTATCATTACTTATCACACATATACACACACGACACATTCTAAAAATTAATATTTATTTATGTTCATAGTAAGAATAGTAGGAAAAAAATCCATCGAAACTCACTAAATACTATAATATAACTAGTACTATACCATACAGAAATGAGCTCTTTTTATAATATAACTCCAACAATATCGACTGCATATACGCCACACACATACAACACACAACACACACACACACACACAAACACAATAAATTTCAGCACAGCGGATTTACACAACACACACACACACACACACACACAACTCACAACGACACCACCACTCGAGCGTAGAACATTAATTCATTAAGAATAGTACACCGTTTTAAATTATATATATATAGTATATATATTCTGATAAAGTTATATTAAGTAAGAGTCACGTGATAACTACTATATATATAGTTATAGATTACCTAGCCTATACATATATACCTATTATCATA